AAAAACATATTTAATCATATACATTAATTCATACTTTAAATTCACACTTTACTACTAAAATGAAACCGAAAATTATATAAATTTCCAAAGACTATTGGTTTTCTTTATTGAATTCCAATTAAACACACTATAAATTATAATTATAAATCCTCTAATTTAATTATTTTAAAAATGTAACTTACATCACTTCTTATCATATAAATAGCCATTCTCACATCATTCTCTGCCATATCTCATATCTTCATTATTCTCTTTGTTTTTTTTTAAAGTTCTTGCATGGGGTGAAAACTCATTTAAAATATCATTTTAAGAGTTTGATTAATTATTTAGTTTAAAATTTTGTTTTCAATTTTATTTATTTTTTGTTTTTATGTATTTCTTTATGTCTTCATTGTTTTTTATATTTTTAAATGTAATACATATGTATAATAATATTTTATGGTTATAAGAAAATCAAGCTAAAGAAACCATCTTCATTCTTTTTACTTTAGATGTTTGTTTGTTTCTCACATATTCATGTATATTTAATTTATTTTCAAAAGTATGTAAATTTTTAACAAAATAAACTTTTTGTTATATAATTATCAAACCAACTTGTAAGACATTCTTTTAAGAATAATGATCATTATATTTAGTTTGTGATTCAACATGTAATAATACGAAGAACATTATAATTTGTTTTAACTTTGAATTTTATACTTGATTTCCTATCTAAAAACAATTTGATATTCCATTTTCTATCTATTATATATACTATAAGGATGAAAAATATAATTAAACATAGAAATATAACTTAAATTAAGAGGAATATATAAAGAGATTAAAAATAAAATTATTTCTTGGGAATTTTTAAGGTTTCACTCTCTCCTTATTGGTCCATTTAGCAGTTATTTTTTAATTATAATAATTATTTTTATTTAAACCAAATACCTAACACATTTAGTCATATACTTTAATTTATACTTGAAATCCACACTTTACTATTAAATTGTAACTTAAATTATATAACCTTTCAATTGACTATTTGTTTCCTCCATTTAACTTCAATTAACACACTATAAATATATAATTATAACTCCTCTGATTTAATTATTTTAGAATTGTAACTTACATCATATTTTATCCTATAAATACTCATTTTTACATCCTCATCCACTATATATGATATTCTCAATATTTTCTTTGTTTAATTTTTAATGTTCTTGCATGGGTTGAAAGCTCAATGAAGATATCATTGTATGAGCTTGATTATATATTTGGTTAAAACTTTTGTTTTCAATTATATTTCTTCTTTATTTTATGTACTTCTTCATTTTTTTCATTGTTTTTTATACTATTAAATGTATATTACATATGTATAATAATAATTTATGGCTATAAGGAAATTACTTTATCGATGGGATTCAAAAATATTGATTTCTGACCATCGCACCATAAGAAAATCAAGCTAAATAAACCATTTTCATTGTTTTACTTTATATGTTTTTTTCTTTCTCACATATTCATGTATATTATTTTATTTTCAAAGTATGTAATTACAAAATATTTTTTTGTTATATTCAAACCAATTTGTAAGACATTGAAATAAATAAAATTTTATACACAAATAAAGGTAATTTTTGTGTATATTTATAAGTTTACACACATATTTGGATAAATTTCAGCATTTTTAGTGGTTGTTTTGATAAAGTTTGAAAAGGGGGTAAATTTAAAAAGTGGTATTTTTAAAGGGGTATTTTTTAAATTCTCCCAATATCATTCCTATTTTTATCATTAACAATATTATTGTTTTATCAAAAAATACTTAAAAGTATTAAAGAAAATTACTATCAAAATTGATTAATTGAACAATTAATCAACGAATAAATTCAAAAGATATGGATGTATGCTTCTACTGTATGATTTAAATAAATAATATGTAAAAATGTCATAAGCATTAAAATTTATTTAATCTATTTTTTATAAGTAATAAATAAATTAAAATAATTAAATAAATATACAACAACCCGCGCATATGCGCGGGACATCCCTACTATAGTAAAAGAGAAGTACAAATGCTTTTTGGGTCGGGTTTTAAAAGAAAAATTAACCCGGAATTTTTCAGTTGGATCTTACTAAAAATTTAAAAATATTAAATACCAGTTTCCATATATATTATTTCGAAATTTACCAAATTAAACCATCAATATCGGTTTGGGAAAGTACATTAATCTTAATTTGTTTAAGGAAAAATACATTAATGTATGATTTTGTATATTGGTTTAACAAATTAACCTAAAAATCAGAAATATAAATTAAATATAAAATAATCATTATCAAATTATCCATAATATTTCAAAACAAAATCTTCCTTAAATATCCTATATTGATATTTGGATGTATAGTTTTCTCCTATATTAACTATGATCTTCACACCAGTTACGGGATATTTCATTTTCAACCATCTGTAATATCTATTTTTTTTCTCTATGACCATCTTTAATATTTATTTGGCAATAGTTTCGAATTGCTGGCTTGATTATAAAACTAATTTTTTTCAATTTAACCCTAAGAAAATATGATCTATATAACTAAGTTTTTGCTACCAGAAAATTGTAACATCAACACAGATTTTACATTTAAACACGATAAGAAATAAGAAATCATTGGCTCTTTATTTGTTTATTCTAGAGATTTGCAACTTTACAAGACTGCATGAAAGGTCCAAGTTAAAATCATGTATTTATGATTATGCGGTGTACCGCTGGTCAATCCCTAAATTTTAAAAATGATTCATTGTATAATATTTTTTTTTCATTGTATAATATTTATACATATATATATGTCACATATTGTTCTAAAATTAACAATCCAACTAAAATCATACAATTTAAATAATTTTGAACATATTCGAAACCAACACATACAATCTAAAAATGATAAAATTTAATTACTGATCAAAATAAAGTAAAGCAAACACAAATAAAATTATCTCGCAACGTATAAAGGACTAAAACCCCGGTAATTTTCCCCCGCGTTGTAGCGCGGGTCCGGACCTAGTTACCTAGTAATAGAAAAAACATTATTTCCAAATAGGGAAACAAATATTACATTCGAGTTTTAAGAATAGTTCTTTATGTGCCACCATTCATATATACAGAATAGAGAGCATACTTTTACAGTATCAGAGATTTTGTAGACCACTTTATTCGAACAACGATTATGGCAACACTTGCATATGTTGCGACTAAGATGATTATTGGGAAGAACGGTCACATTAAATTCACGGAATATGAATTCTTCTCTTCTAGGCATCATATACATGTCCTCTCTAAGTCCAAGTAGACATTGAATATGCAATGTGGCGTTGCAATCGCTGCACGTATAAATTCCACTCTTTGGATCTGCTTCTTGTTCACAAACATCACACACATACTTACCACTCGCGTCTTTATCATAACCAAATATGAGGAAATGCTGATCATGCTTGTACCTCAATTTAGTCGGCAATGTGGCACAACCAAAACACAAAACAAAACCACATGAATATGATTCTCCACAATTTAGACGCATAACTCCCATTTTTTGGCAAATCCAACAGTATTGCAAAGTTTCAGGGTCAAATGTAAGATACAAGGGGTGTGGATGATGCGGATGATCAAATGGCTCGTCTATGGAAGCGCAACACATGTCTAACATATAGTCACAGTCTCTTTCACAACACAAGTACCCGAAACCGTTGCTTCTACGATCACAAGCTTCACATGTGAACCAACCATCTTGATGTTCCACTTGTAAACTAAGGGGATGAGGATGTGTCGCGTGTTGTTTCTTCCGAGGAAGATGTGCACATTCTTGATGGAGAACAAACTCACATTGCATGCAATTGTAAATAATACCATCACATACAGGAAGTGTGCATGCTTGACAATATTTGTTCTCGTCAAATGCTCTATCAGTCTCTGCATTAAGTCTCATATGATGATCTGGATGACTGAAATGTTGTATAATGCCGTCACTTATTTCGTAAAACGACTTAGTAATATCTTCTTCATATTCATCTTCTGGTGTTCCCTCAAGTTCTTTCCCATCCCATACATCTTTTCGTGTCGCACATTTAGAATGAACCCCATAGTTGCAACCCTTAACGCAAGAATACCTTCCATAGTTTATGTCTATCTTTCCACGACACACTCCACACCACCATTTGCCTGGAGTAGGTGAGGAAATGAACGAGAGGCGGTGTTGATGACGCGAAATTTTAATGACGCATGGGAAATACACACAATTCATGTGGGTTAGAAAATCACACTGAGTGCAAGAATACACCAAAGAACTTTGATCACTAAAAGAACAAACGTCACAAATCATTGAGCCTTTTCTAGGAAAGTAGAAGAGGGTATGCATATGCTTCTTTGGATTGTCTATTGCAAGGAGTGGTGGATTTCTCGAACAAGGTTGACATATAGTAAAATCGCATAGAGAGCAGTTGTATACCGAAGCACTATTATTTAAACAAAAGCATAGCTTATTATCAGGACGCAATTCAAAATAATGAATAAACCGAAGAGAATGTTTAGGATGATAAGGGTGCTTCGATACCGGCTCGATACACTCTTTGTGAAAGCCATTAACATTTCGTTGTGAAAAAATGTAAAGACATTCTTTGCAAGAATAAAATGGGGTATCAATGATAGGACTCATGCAAACCCCGCATAAGATGGCTTCGTATGTACCATCTATGGTGTTGCACCAATCTAATGGACGGAAGTGAGGTGAGGATGATTGTGAAGACTTGTCGTCTGCGACATTAGAAAGAATCGGTGACTCTCCGAAATGTATCAGTTGATACTCCTCTTCGTTGTTTGTAAAGCGTGCAAAAGGGCAAAAGGGGGGAGGAGAAGCATATAGTTGTTTTGAGGCATTATCCATGTCGAAGAAGGAAATGAATTTTATGTTAGATAAAATGCTTTGAGAGTGTTGGTACGTATGCCCTAAAATGCTTATAATATATAAAGTTTTTGGTAACAACAAATGTAAAGATTTGGTTCTCCTTGATATTATTATATTCTAAAACTCCTCATAGAGAATAGTAATGCAATTCTTCTTTTAAATGTGACCTTTTTATCAAGTTTCTAATGTTACTTACAGGCAAGGGTAAGGTTACTGTTGTATATACTCTATTTAACTTTAACTTTATTGATCAACAACGCAAAAGAAATGTCTTTGCTTGATGAGAAGAAAACGAAGATTTTGTCTTGACATGTTAGTTTTCTTCTATAACACTAATCTTTCGAGTTTCAATGATTAATTTTTACTAGTGACATGCCAGAAAAGTTGTTGACAAAGTTCATAAATCACAATATGTTTTTGTTTTTTTACCATCACAAAGGCTGTATCATCAAAAGTTTTTTTTTTTTTTAAATGTATCAAAGACTCATTCATATTTTGTAACCCGTTTATTACTGTTTTTCTTGCCATAGTATTAAGTACATGTTGTGGTCGATGTTGTCAAGCAGAAGAAACTACAAAGCATCTCTTTTTCACAGTTTCTATACAAAGAAGGATAAGGCTAAAACTACATTTTTATCTATTTAAAGAAAATTCAAATGTTAATTATCTCTGAAAATTGGATGCAAATATGAATATTAATGTACTTAATACTGTGTCTAAAATTAAAACATTACTACTGCTCAGGACGTTGGATAAAGGAATTCAAAAAGCCTTTTCTGCATATTTTCTTCTCTTTGTTTTCTGTAATGGAAGAAACTGTCCAATCTTAATAACTAAAAGACATAGTGAGCTTCTGTTTCCTGCTTGAGATATATATAGATTGTGAGTTCTCAAAACAAGGCCTTTATAGACTTATACCTCAAAAATCTGTCATGTAAACAAAGTTCCTTGTGATTTGGCAAGCATCCAAAGATGACAAAGAACAGGTAAGTTCATGAATATGGAAGAGAAACTTGCTTGAAAGAACACACAATAGCGAGAGAGAGTCACTAAAATCGCTTCTGGTTTCATGTCCAGTGTCGTGTAGCCTAAAGCCTCACTGACACAGTGACACCAATTAGAGAAGAGATAGTTGCATTGGATAAATAAGTAGACTCCATTGAAAACGTGTTAGGCTCTTTGGAACTCCTGCTTCAGGCTCCTTTCCTGGACGGTAGAATATGGTCTTACCTCAACTTTGTAGGTGAAATACTTCTTTATTTGAGAGCCTCAGCTTTCTCTTTACTGATTGTCCCTGCATATTTGCTCAACTATAAACCTACAATGTACTGGAGTGTCTATGTTCATATGCCAGATCAAGTGTCAACTTCAACAACTGACAAAATGGATGTGCTTGTTCATCAGCCTAAGTAAGAACAGAGATAGATAATCAACATGGGAAATGCTGAAGAATGACACCGATGTGATAGACCATGAGAGTAACATTCCATGTCCATGCACTGAAACGAAGTTGATGACAGGCCTCTGGATGTTATCATGTTATGATCTAATGTAATGTTATGTTATTTCCTAGCTAAACATAGCAATTGGAGTTTCATCAGGATGATTCGATCTGAATGATGAAAATGAATCCCACAAAGTGATGTGTTAAAGCCACAATAAGATAAATAAATGGCAAACCAGACTCCTACAGAATTAAAACAATCATCAAAAACCACACTGCGTATGCATGTAGCAAAGCTAATAGAAACTGAACCATGTTATATGTTGATGAGATCACACTATATGCATCCATCACATGACAAAGAAGCAATGCTGATGCTTAAAAATGTCGATAATGAAAATGGATGCAATGCGGACTGCCTGCAAGATGTTGTTTGGAGAGAAAGAAAAGAGTACGTCCCCCTTCAAGGCCTACTGATATGTCAAAGCTCCTTGGGCTCCATTTGCATTCGGAGAAGGAAAGAAAGAATAGCCTGGGCCTTCCTTTCTCTTACCATATGGATTCTTTGAATATGTATCATTGGGTTAAGATGAAACAAACACAAAAGGAAAAAGAAGTGGGCATATCGGAATATAAAATAAGCACTTAAAAACAAGCAGAAAGAGTGAGTATGTAAAGGATATTGGATCCTCATGCCAACTGAACCAGAACTTGGAATGACAGCACCTTGCAAATTATGGTGAACATTTGTGGCACTATTGACATCCTGCAAGTCCAGATAGAACAGTTAAACAATATGCTAGAAGAATGACTGTCTGGCAAGTATACACACAAATGGTGAAGGTTTAATAAACCTCAAATTCAATAAAGCAGACTGTATGCCTTTCTTGTCTCAGAATCTTCATTTGTTTGAAACCAGGTTGCCTGCAAAATGAAAGTACAGTTTACCACAGAATTCGTAAGAACACAAGGAATGCAATGGACGGGAGTGTCACTAAAGCAAACAGATACTCACGCGCTCAACAGGCTCCTCAATTCTTCTTCGTTTATATTCTCCCCAAGATTACCAATAAATAGGGTATTGCAAGGTGGATTATCCTTTATATTCTGCAATTAAAATATAGAAAACAGCATGATACATATATCAGATCAGCATGGGAACAAAATTTATCAAACTATCAGAAACTTCAGTACACAATGCATTTAAATTAGGCAACAACTATTGTTCCACAACACAATCACCAGAGTTAATCAAAATGAACTTCGAGTTTGTAAATATTAGGCACGGATAGGTAAGTAAAACATGGATTCCGGGAAGATTTTAGCAAAACCTATAAGTAAAATAAATAAAAAAAAACAAAAAGAGCAATAACCTGGACAGGCACATATGAACTAGGAGCTGCTATAGGTGTGGGCGCAGGCATTGGTACAGGGGGAGCATGATAACCTGCATAGGGATCATATGGTGGAGGTGCAGGTGCCATATACCTGAATCAAATTTTATCTTATTGTCAAATAAACAATTTAACAGAAAACGAGGTACCAAATACACATCATTCAGTTTCTACATGCGCATCTGAAATATGAAAGAGAAGCAAATGCCTCACCCATGAGGTGGTCCCCATACTGGAGGAGGTGGAGGGTGGAAAGGAGATGGACTATACACAGAATGTGTGCAGTCACCTCCAGTTCGTAGGCGCTTACTTTGATCATATGCATTTGAGTCCCCAACTATTCCTACACAACAACATTCGAAATCAAATGTGTATATTACCAACGGAAGTAACAAACTCGATAAAGGGGAGCGCCTAATGAGATCCTCATATAAATGCACAATACTGTATCAAACATGCTTTAGTAACATGACCGATGCTAGGATAGAAAAAAAAGTACAGAGACGTATATCATAAATGTAGAGCTGACCTCTTTTAACAAAGAGATTCTTCTTGGCCATCTCCGTATGTATAACAGACTTCGTCTCAGCATCAAACACCAGATGCTACATGCCAAAAAACAATATATGTAAGAAAGTGAAGACAAACAGGATTTGAGTAAAAAAAATGATCAGAAGCAGAGAGACCTGAAGGTTATCTTTGGCTGCCATTGCAAACTGAGCTGTGGAGAAAAGAGCAAACCCCATGGGCTTTTCTCCCTTGAAGTTCACCTGAGAAGCCTCGTAACCAGGCAACCATCTCAAGAGATTCAAAAGCTCTCTCTCTTTTACATCATCGGGAAGACCTGCGATGAAGATTGTCCGAAGCTGAACAAAGGATTCAAACTCGTGTAAGATATCACGTTTTTCACAAAATCAGAAAACTCCAACCACAAAACTGCTAAGAACTATATATATATAAGTAAGAGAACCCTTTCCCACTTTAGCAACAAACTTTAAAATCATTCTCATAAAAAAGATCATACGAATTTGGAAATTGTTCTATAAATCTGTATTAGAAAAGATACTCATTTAGGTTCACGGTCTAAACTTTAGCTAAAATGTTTAGAAGTAGTAGCATTGTAAACACGCAAAGGATAAGAGTGTTCATTTGGCAAACCATTGCTTCTGGCTACACTAAAACTAAAGCTTGATACAAAATCATATAACTTTGAAAGTTCGAAAGTTCGAAACTTCTGCAAGGTTCGTCATCAAAAGCAATCAAAAATCGAATTAAGCTATAACATGTACATTAAAAACCCCAACTTAAACAAATATTAACAAAGCCTATCAGGAAAACACATCACAAGAATCACATAGAGAGAGAGTTGTAACCTCGTCGTAAGGAGGACGATTATGGTTGTCAACTAAAAGGGGAGGAGGAGGATGATGGTGATGAACGGGCGGGGGATGTGGTGGAGCAGCTGAGGAGACTGCGGCGGGAGGAGGAGGTGCCCCTGCCGGCGGCCATTGCTGGTGGTAAGGGTGGATTCCGGCGCCGGCCATGAGATCGATAACCTAATTAACGAGAGAAAGAGAGAGAGACCGATTGTTCTAAATAAACTTTCTGCGGATGAATTTGACGGCGAAGTGGGCAGACTTATTTTAATGTATCACATGCTTCGCACGTGAACACTATGTTCTTACTTTTTTAGTCGGTAAAAATATTTTCGGACTCACACCAAACCATACCAAGGCTTGCGCGTGTTCTGTTCTTCGGTTCGGTCCCAAATTTTTGGTTTTCTGATTTTTTTTTCAAAAATTTGCCAAATATAACCCCAAAAAAAAACCGGTTACGCGCCCATTTAAAAAAACAGACAACATAATCCAAAATCCAATTAATCGTAAAACAGAGTTTTCTTAAGGTTATATAAATCTCGAAGCGTAAAACTAATTTCTGATCATGGCGCCTCTCTCGTCAATTTCTTCATCCCCTCGCTAGTCGCTAGTCGCTACTACTGAGTCGAAGAGTTCCCGGAGACACTGATGAGTTTGGCGGCTGTCTCATGTAACAGCGTCATGACATAACTTAAATCATCCACCGTGACGTCCTAAAATCTTCAATTCATGAATTTACAAGAAAAAGTTATTTGTCTTCAGTTTTGTGTGTAATGTTGTGAACCTAATTAATAAATTGATCTACGGTAATGATAATTTAAAAACCCAAAAAAAAAAAACAAAAACATTGTTAAACGTGTTACAACACAGAGCCACAAAAGTGCTTCTTAAAACTCTGCGAGTGTCTCCCACGCTCTTTCCGTCAGCGCGTAGATACCTATTTCCTCGATGTTGTCTCTTTTAATTTCTTTTTTCACAATCTCATTCAATGAAACTTGGTTCTCCTCTTGATTTTGATTTTCATCTCTTCCAACGACGATGACTCGATTCGATTCGATTCAAACAAACCCTAGACGGTGACTGAAGATTTCATTACAAACCTGTAGAAAGAAGATAAAAGAACCGAGCTTCTATTTATATATATAAACTTTTGATTCCTCCTCTCTGCTAAAACCAACAAAAAAAAAAAAAAAAAAAAAGCCATGAAACCGATTCAATCGCCTCCTGGAGTATCTTCACCTATGAAGAACCGTTTACGGAAACGTCCTGACCTAAGCTTACCACTCCCACTCCGCAACGTCGCTCTCGCTGTACCTCTCCCTCTCCCACCTCCCTCCTCCTCCTCCTCTGCTCCGGCGTCTTCATCTGGCACCCAAACCAACAGCTTGTCCGAGCTAGAACGAGTGAACCGAATCGGAAGCGGAGCCGGAGGGACGGTTTACAAAGTAATCCACCGTCCGACGTCGCGTGCCTTCGCTCTCAAAGTGATTTACGGAAACCACGAAGAGACTGTGAAACGACAGATCTGTAGAGAGATCAAGATCTTGCATAGCGTGGATCATCCTAACGTTGTGAAATGTCACGAGATGTATGATAATAACGGCGAGATCCAGGTTTTGCTTGAGTTGATGGATCAAGGATCTCTTGAAGGAGCACATGTCTGGCAAGAAGAGGAATTAGCTCATCTCTCTCGCCAGATTCTTAGTGGATTAGCTTACCTTCACCGCCGTCACATCGTTCACCGTGATATCAAACCCTCCAATCTTCTCATTAACTCGGCTAAGACTGTCAAAATCGCTGATTTTGGAGTGAGTCGGATCTTGGCTCAAACCATGGATCCTTGTAACTCCTCTGTTGGCACTATTGCTTATATGAGTCCTGAGAGGATCAACACTGATCTGAACCATGGCCGTTACGATGGTTACGCCGGAGATGTATGGAGCTTAGGTGTTAGCATCTTGGAGTTTTACTTGGGGAGGTTCCCTTTTGCTGTGAGTAGACAAGGGGACTGGGCCAGTCTAATGTGTGCCATTTGTATGTCTCAGCCACCTGAAGCTCCTCCCACGGCGTCTCAGGAGTTTCGTCACTTTGTTTCTTGTTGCTTGCAGATTGATCCTCCTAAGAGATGGTCAGCTCAACAGCTTTTGCAACATCCTTTCATTCTTAAATCTACCGGTGGTCCTACTCTCCGTCAAATGTTGCCGCCGCCTCCTGCCTCCTAGTGTCTTTTAATTACCATTTTCATCTTTCTTGCTTTCAATTTTTCCACATTTTCCTGACAATTTTTGCATACCCTGAACAAAGATAATGCAAAGAGTAGAGAACAGTCTGGTTTGTGAATTGGGGTATGATTCGTCAGGAAGGAAAACTCAGTTTGTGTTTAGGGTTTATTAAGTATGCTGTCAAGCTTGATTTGTCTTTTGGTAATGGATGAAGAACGTTTTGCTAGAAATGGGAATAAGGACAAGGAAGAATTCTTATGGTTTATAAGTGATCTTGGCTGAATTTTGCATGTAGTAGCTTCTTTATTATTGTTCATATAAGTAAATGGAGTATCTTAATTACTTTTGTTAATTCTCATTAATAAAGTTTCTTTTATTGTCCTTTATTTGATGCTACTGCTTTAATAATTGTGGTGAGTAATAGTTGAAAGCTTGTTTATGGTCTTTTGTTTCAACAAAAGCTATCTTCTTGTCTCTCGCTCTCTCTCTCTCAATGGTTCTATGTTCAGTATCCAGAAATGGCCTTGATGTTTTAGTGTCGTTAGGAATCTAACCCTCAACTCTCAAGTGTCCATTTTCAGATTCTAGGTTCAGCATCTACTCAAAAAGTCTACCTTATGGTTAGTTCCTGTCTGTTATGTTGATCAAATATGACGATCTTTTGTACCAGTGTCCAACTATATTCTTTCCCCGTCTTATGTTCTCAACTCAATGATATGACATTTACTCTCTTTAAGTTGCATGCAAATGCAATTATATGTATTAGGAACTAATTGTAGTATTTGTGTAAGATCGATTTATATCAGTACAGATATGAGATCAGAAGATAAACCTCTGTAGCAAGCGTACAAGGAACCTGTTGGGTAATCAATTGGTCTCGGCTTCTAACCACTTTAGACCTCTCCGCTGGGTCACTTCCTTCTCTGCAGGTTATTTACTGGTTAATTCACCTGAATTCTTCAAGCATTCAGCTTGTAGAAGAGGCTAAGTTAAGTGCGGCTCAGTACAAAAATCTACCAGTATAAGTCCCTTCTCATTGTCGCTTTCGCGGGTATGTCTGCTCTCTAGATTAATAATTCTTCTTAAGAGAATAGTGAGAAATGATGATTATAGGAAAAGAATTGTGTGTTTTGGGGTAAAGCTTTATGTTTCATGGATCTGTTGTGTTGACTTTACAAGATTGCTGTCTCGAAACCAAATCAAATCTCACACACTTGCTTCTTAATGCTTACTTCGTAGAGACTTTAAATGTTCTGTTTTACACATACATTTGCCAACTCTCTTGTGTCTATTTAGAGCACTCAGTTTCCAATTTAGCTCGGAGATCCTTCCTCAGAATCTTTCCAGAAACTGCTTTTGGTATAGCTTCTATGAAAAACACCATCTTGATCCGCTTGTAGTGAACCACCTATATAAACCATCACAGCATTGATTTAAGAGACATAGACAGTTTCTATCATTGTGTGTTTCGCAATTAAAGACCGAAAATGAATTCATTACCTGTTTGTTTACATAACTCTTGACATCATCTTCAGATAACTGAGTCCCTTCTGATCTAACTACAAACGCTACCGGAACCTCATCAGCTACTTCGTCCTTCATTCTGCAACTTCAAATATCATTAGAAAACAACAAACACTAGAGTTTCGAATTACAAGACTCAGTTCGTTTTTTACTCACGCAACAACTGCAGCATCGTCAATATCAGGATGAGAAATAAGCAATGCTTCAAGCTCAGCCGGAGCCACTTGATAGCCTTTGAATTTGATCAGTTCTTTCAACCGATCAACAATGAAAATCTCATCATCATCATCCACAAAACCAATATCTCCAGTGTGTAACCACCCGTCTTTATCAATGGTTCGCGCAGTAGCTTCCGGATCATTCAGATAACCTACCAAGATCGCACCATTTTCTTGTGCTTTTCAAAGTATGTTCTCCCAAAAGAAAAAGGGACACAACTTGAGCATTTTGACCATATTACCTTTCATGAGCTGATGGCCTCGGACGCATAGCTCGCCAGATTTGTTCCGCGGTAAGGAGATCCCTGTTATGGTATCGACCACTTTCAACTCGGCGTTTCTGATCACAGTCCCACACGCACCAGACTTGGTTTTAAACGGGATCTTTGCAAACGCTAATGACTTAGCCACCGTTCCTGACTCGGTCATTCCATAACCCTGAAAATAATATATGTGTCACTTTTAAGTCATTTATTGCCAAAATGTAAGAAAAACATTTGACTTTATAATAATACTGACGAAGACATTAAGTTATCAACTGAGAAACCGCAGTCTGAAAGCTGCAATTAAGACAAACGAGAAATGAACTGTATGACAATCAGGTTCATGAGCATGTGCGTTGTTGGTCGTGGTTATTGAATTAAATTTGATATGAACTGTTAACGTCAATAAGTCAAACTATTTAGAGAAATGAATGTTGCGCAATAATGGAACTATAATATAAACGGTGCAACATGGATCATCACTAATTACTCTTACATGAAAAAGCATTTATCAATAATTAAACAGAGGAGTACCTTTTATACATACACACACACACACACACACAAAAGGCACTGAAGAAAAAGGAAAACAAAAAAAAACTCATGATAGTTTACGATAAGATAAAAGCAACACAGCCAAACCTTAAAGTTATAGTGGAGAACGTGTCCTCTATGCATTGGGACCAAAAGTGATTTTTCCAAAGACAAACTATCGTGTGTCAGTGTGTGTGACCCTAAAACTCCATTTTAAAACGAATTATTGTATTCTGTGTTTCACAAAATGATATGCTTTTTCTTGTATTTGTTTATGGGATCTTTTTTCTCTTTAGATGGATATACTATCATGCTTGGAATTGACATTCATACTATTCACATGAAACTTCCTACAATTATTGAGTGCTTTAGAGAAATTGTTAAAACCATGTTAGGTAACCCATCTAGCCACCCACCTAAATGTTTAATTGATTTTTCTTTACACTAGCTAGAGAAATTGAACGAGCAGATAGTGAACCATATAGTTCTCAGTTTATAAAACGTATAACTCTACGAAACTAAACCAAATCAACTCGTTAAAGGTTCTTAATAGTTAATAGTATCAAAGTCTAGCAGAAGAAATGGCCAAAGTTTGACAAAAGAATGAATCAACGATCACATTTTGTCATCTCAACGTGGGTGCTACATATTGGTTTTTATTTTTTTTTAGCTTTGAAGAAATTACAATAAAATATATACTAATAATTGGTGGAATGATTTTGGATATCTCTTTCGGCAAAATATACAAGTATTAATCGTTTTACCTACCACAAGCCACTAAACTCTAATCTAAGTGATCGACTTGTATACTCAAAGATTAGGATAAGGATTTTTTAAGTCAATCAATGTCTTACATAAATTCGTGTCCACTACATTTGAAAAAGCCAAAATATCGTTGTTTTAATTAGTCAAAATATTGGTACTTTAACATCAACAATTACCAATAAATATTCGGAATGTGGTGTCACCTAAGATGTAGACAATGACATAAATAGTTTTAAAGCTTAGATTTGGTGAACCACTAATTCATTTTTTTCTCTTAATTATATGTAGACCACGAGATTGTTTATGTATCTCTCTGTTACATATTTAAAGTTCTCCATTTTTCCATTTTACTCAAGTTACAAGACAATTGCACATAGCGACAAATCTTCACCTACTACCACTTAGTATTTGTACAAAACAATTCTCGTATCTTTTACTACATGCTGCATTGCTGCTTATATGAAGACAAAAGCAGTTGACTCCAGAAGTACCACATGAAACATATGTACGTATAGAGATCTACATTCTTAGTTCATCTCAATAGTTATGTTTATAAGATTATCTACGATTTTGACTTGAGTCCATGTGTCCAGTTGCATTAAAAAAAATTGAAGAAACTAATGAAAACTACAGAGGAAATTAAGGGAACTATAGAAACTGACCTGACCAAAGATGGCATTAGGAAACTTGAGACGCACGGCGTCTTCGAGCTCTTTCTTTAATGTAGCTGCACCTGATAGCATCATCCTCACTGAGCTTAAGTCATATCTCTCTGTTTCCGTGGACTTAACGAACGCTAGAACCACCGGGGGAGCCACTGGTACCACCGTGACTTTGTACCTCTGAATCAGCTCCATCACCAGATTCAACTCGAACCTCGGCACGATTAGTAACGCCGCACCTGTTCTCATCGCCGAAAGCATCAACGCGTCGAGAGCGTATATGTGAAACATTGGGAGAAAACAGAGGATGACGTCATTGGCCGTGAAGTTGACGTTAGGGTTTTCTCCGTCGACCTTCTGAGCAATGCTCGTAACTAAACCCTTGTGAGTAATCATCACTCCTTTTGGAAGTCCCGTTGTCCCGGAGGAGTACGGCATCGCCACCGTGTCTTCCGGCAAGATCTCAGGTTCAGGAAGCTCTGTTTCGTCAGCTTGAGCCAGTTCCGTAAAACTCACGTAACCGTCCTCAGCCGACGAAACCTCGTCTTCGTCACCGTCCTCTACGCAGACGATCAAAACGCCGTCGTTCTTGAGGTCCGTCAGTTTCTGGACGTAGCATTTTTTCGTGATGATCATCTTCGCGGCAGAGGCTTTCCCCTGTTTTGTAATCTCCGGTTGCATATAGAACGGATTCGCAGTGGTGGAAACGGCTCCGAGGTAAGCCACGGCAAGAAAACACAGAGCAAACTCCAGAGAGTTGGGGAGAAGGAGCATCACCACGTCACCGTGGCGGATCCCAAGCCTATGCATTCCCACGGCGATCTTTTTTGAATTGGTTTGAACATCGGCATAGTTTAAGATACGTCCCGTAGCACCGTCGATGAGACAAGTGGAAGTGGAGTCACCCTCTCCGTCGCCGGAGAATTTCTGAAAGATGTAATCCGTGAGAGAGAGGTGGTGAGGGATGAAGATATCAGGAAGCTTAGATCGGAAAATGAATCCATGAAAAGGTTCTTCTTCTTCTACTTCTTGATCTATCTTTGTGAGAAAATGCGTTTGTTGTTGGAGCACCATTTGTGTGGAGATTCTAATTCTTCTTTCTTTTTTACTTTTGTTTCTGAGAAAGTTTCCTTACAAATAAAATGTAACGTATGGTTTTATTTTTGTTCTTTTGATATTGGGGTGTTTTTATAATGCTATACGTTTGGTTTCTTTATTTAAATGATGTGATAGTGATTTATTTCCATGATATGTGATTTTTTTTTCTTCTTTGCTTAAAAATATTTTTTTCTTTAAATGAACTATTGCTACGTTACCTACGTAGTTGGTGAGTGGGACAACTTTTTCTAATTTGTATTTACCTTTCTTCATTACAATTTGTTATAAAATGGATAATGTCACCATGTTTGATCCACATACCTTATTAGTCAAGATTATTCTTATAGATAGTTTAACTATACTAATAGTTATCCTGCCATTTTGATGTTTATCTATTAAGATACTTCTTTTACAAATAAATTTTTTAAAAATATATTGTAAATGTAGTTAATCTGATATGCCTTAATATTTAATATAGTTATGAAAATTGGCAAAAATGTTATACCTTTATTTTTATTCATTATTTAAAACGTGTCAATAAGTTATGTACGTTTGTTCAGAAGAAAAAAAAAAGTTATGTACGAAAATTTATAATTACAGAATTGACGATAGTGACTTGATAATAATATTTGTTTGGTTAATAATTTTTGCTTTTCTTTTTTTTGTGTGGGACAATTTACAACAACGATCAGAAACATTAAGGCAATTGAAAGTGAGGAATGCATACAAATACAATTATACTACCAAACTAAATAATTTTTCTGATATAAGAAAACTGCATTTAACCTTTAACCAATCCTTTTGATATAATAGTTTAACATATTGACAATGGAGATGGAGTTTGCAGTAACTCTATCTCTCTCTATCTCTCTCTCTCTCTCAATTCATAAGCCAATATAACGCGTAGTCGAGAGATTGAACCAAGCAAAACAACAACGCGACTCAACTTGACTTAACGCGTCGTCATCTATTAAGTTTTTGTTGGACCACCCGGACCAATTTTACAATACTGAAATCTAAATATTTTCCACAACAAAAGAAATTTACTATTGTTAGTAGTAGACAGCTCTATACACTTCTCTCTTCTTCTTTTTTTTTTTTTCATGTAACCAGACATTTCCATACACCTAATTCGATAAGTGTGATTTCTGCGTCAAAAGTAATTGTATATCTTTTGAGTTTTTATAGAAGAACATATTCTGATCATATTCTTACAACTTACAACTTCTCTAACTCGCCCAAATGCTCATTTGTTTGCGTCTTAGGCATACATATTTAGTCTTAAGTTTTCAGTAATTCTATAAGACGAAGAGTAATTATGGATAGGACTATTGTATGTCACTTAATTAAAAGCAATATGTTATACGGCCATAACCCCAAAAATTGTTAATGTGCTATTTTTGTGGTGTCATAGAATGGTAATTGGAATTACCAACAAATATTCGGAATTTGGTGACACCAAATACAGTGACATTGACTTCTAAAGGAGTATGACTTATTGAACCACCAATAGTCAAATATAAACGAATTTTTGTCATATATCTGAAATTCAAATTTTGATCACTGTAGTCTCTTCAAATCTTCACCTAACATGAGCTTACCCTACTAACCGATCCGGCTAGCTTTAATTTATATACAAAAACAACAAAACCTCAGTAACTATATTTTAAAGTACCCCTTTTGGGAGAATTGCTATGTTGCTTCATCTTTTAAGGCATAATAATAATGCCATAGACTCATACAGTATGAGTCATACTATAAACAAGGTATAATTAACAAGTTTTTCCACCAAATTAACAACAACCATATATACCTCCATTACATGTTTACCATCAGAACATGGAGCAAATATGATCCTGTAAGTTTATTTCTTCTGTTCAAAATAAATGAAACTTCGTTTTTCATCTTTATGTGACAAGATAACATGCATATATATGTGTGTGCCTACATGTGGATCATGTTTAAAAAAACTTTAGTTCATCAATCCATATTAGCTAGTTTTGCTCTTAGATCCTTCCTCAATATCTTCCCTGATGGAGCTTTAGGAATGGAGTCAGTGAAGAACACTTTGTTGATTCTCTTATAAAACACAACCTGTTCATGAAATCACACACACAATATATATGAGCGTCGAGGTCGATCATTTATTTAATTTTTCATTATATAAAAAAAAAAGAATTAACCAATTAGATAGTTAGCTAACCTGTTTTGACACAAATTGCTTGATTTCATCTTCTGATATATTTGAATCTTTTGATCGCACCACAAACGCAACAGGAACTTCACCAGCATCTTCTTCTTTCATTCTGCACATTAAAATAAACAAAATTGGAGAAATAAATAACAAACAAACGACTTTAAAACATAATATTGGTTTGTGCTAATGTCTTCTTTGTTTCCCATATTGCATGTTCTTGACCAAAAAAAACCACAAAACATATTTCAAAGTTCACATACGCGACGACGGCAACATCGTTGATCTCTGGATGAGCAATGAGGAGAGACTCTAGCTCAGCTGGAGCCACTTGAAACCCTTTGTACTTGATGATTTCTTTCAATCGATCAACGATGAAAAGCTCATCGTCTTCATCTATGAATCCAACGTCTCCGGTGTGAAGCCAACCATCTTCATCGATCGTCGAGGCAGTGGCCACGGGATCATTGAGGTAGCCTTTCATGATTTGGTGGCCACGGATGCATATTTCGCCTGATTTGTTCCTAGGCAAGGAGTCTCCAGTGTCTGGATCAAGTATCTTCATCTCGGCGTTCCTCACGACTGTACCACAAGCTCCTGATTTCACAGGAAACGGCTCTTTCGCGAACCCTAGCGACATTGCTAGCACTGGACCTGCCTCTGTCATCCCATAGCCCTACTCTTTCCAAAATGTATCGTTTTAGACTTCAAACGTTTCAATTTCTCAAACACAAAACACAATTTGGCTATTTGCGTTTGCATGCATGATTATAATAAATTCAAATATTCGTAAACTATTCACTACATAGTATATTATTTGACGTATCCTCAGGGCAATTTCAGTTATAGATTTTTTATTTTTTACAGTACTCAATCTAAACGAAAGCAATAAACTAGTTTAACTATTATACAAAACGTCAGAAAACGGAATAAACCAAGTCCAAATCAGGTTTTTCCAAATAAATCAATCTTATTTACATCCAAATTAAAATCTATATTTATGTCAACCAAGACGAGTTACGTCGCAAGTAATTACTGAAATTTTAAAACACGTAACTGGATTTGCGTATGTAATTTGAATTACACTACCTACTGCAACTCATCTTTTCACCTACTCAACAAATATATTATACGAAAAATAAAAAAGTTTGGTGAAAAGATGATAGAATTGTTTAGACTTTAGCGACGCAGAATAATTAATCCTACAATATAAACGTTATCGCCTAACTTTGGTTGTGAATTATTATTAACTTTCAAACGAATGTTTAAACTAATAGTAATTTCATTAATTTCCATTTTTTCAAATGTCAGTTTGCATATAGTAAACTGAATCAAATAAGTCCAAAAACCAAAGATACCATATGAAACGTTACGATACTCATAATATTCACATTCAATGAAAGAACACAAAAATAGAAGGGAAAATTAGCATTATAGTACATTTTCAAAACTTAATTTGTAATATAGTACATTTACTATTCAAAATTAGATAAATAAACAATGGGTCCACTATGTGACATAGAGAATGTGTGAGATACATGAGAAAGTGGGGTATAGTGTAGTGGTGGTAAATTACAAAAAGGTAGATGTACAAAAGGCATCCGTACAATTCATTTGTACATATAATTTGTGTACAGTTTGATCTGTACAATTGTATTTGTACATATATATCATATTGTACAAATACATGTATAATACAATATAATAGTCAATATACATACAATTATATCTATACATATATCATTGTATATAGTTTTTATACATACATTTTTCTGTACATATAATAAATATACAGTTTGATCTGTACAATTGTATTTGTACATATATCCTATTGTACAAATACGTGTACAATCGTTTACGACTTGTATACTAATATTTGTACAATTATTAAGTTGTACAGATGTACATATGTACACGTTTTAAGTTGTACGGATTAGATCCGTACACTTAGTAAATTGTACATATCTAAAAGTAATGAAAATTATTTGTTATTATCAAATAAAATCTTCAAACAAAATGCATATCATATAATAGAGAAAAAACATAGATTTTTATATATTTGAAACTTGTAAAAAAAAAAATTTCATTGACTAGTATTTTAGTTTTTAGATTGAAGGGAGAATGTAATTAAAAAGAAAAAAGAAATAAATGAAAAATATGTGTTTAATGGCATTTGTGTAAATATGAGAAAGTTGAAGGGGTTCTAATGTCTTCCAAATAGTGAGAATAGTAAAAACTGACTAATTTGCCAATTATAAATAGTGATTGTACTATTTTGCTAATTAAGTTTAAAAAATGTACTAAACTCACAATTATTCCAAAATAGAATTAGAGTGGAGACAAACCTGACCAAGCTTGGCGTTAGGAAACTTAGCACTAATAGCATCTTCAAGCTCTTTACCAAGCGGAGCTGCACCTGACTTTATGATCCTCACCGAACTCAGATCATACTTCTCCGTCTCCGGCGACTTTGCCATAGCTAAAACGATCGGTGGCACGACCATAGCCACCGTGACTTTACACCTCTGAATCTGCTCTAGCAAGAGAGTGATCTCGAATTTGGGCATTACCAAGATCGTGGCACCGACTCTGAGACTACAGAGCATGATGGAGTTGAGTGCGTAGATGTGGAACATAGGCAAGACGCAGAGGATCACGTCGTCTTTGTGGAAGTAAAGGTTCGGATTCTCGCCGTCGACTTGCTGCGACACGCTCGTGACGAGACCTTTGTGTGTTAGCATCACTCCTTTAGGGAGTCCCGTCGTGCCTGACGAGTAAGGCAGCGCCACGACGTCGTCCGGCGAAATCTCCGTGTTGACCCGGAGGTCTCCGGACTGAGTCAGCTCAGAGAAGCTGAGGCAGCCTTCAGGTATGACGTCATCGGTGATTACGACCGTAACGCCTTCGTTTTGGAGGTTCTTGATTTTATCGGCGAATTGGGATTGTGTGACGATGAGTTTCGCGGCGGAGGCTTTGGCCTGTTTAGATATCTCCGCTGGGGTAAAGAAAGGGTTCGCGGAGGTGGTGGTTGCTCCGATAAAGGAGGCGGCGAGGAACGTGAGGACTACTTCCGGCGAGTTAGGGAGAAGGAGCATTACTACGTCGTGTTGCTTCAAGCCGAGTTTTTGAAGACCGGCGGCGATTTTGCGAGACGTGGCGTGGACGTCGGCGTAAGAGTATACCTCGCCGGTAGGGCTGTTGATCAAACATGGTTTAGCGGCGAACTCAGAGATGTTTTCGAAGATATAGTCGTGGAGTGGGAGGTGGTTAGGGATGTTAATATCCGGCAATTTTGATCGGAAAATGACGTCGCCGTTACTACTGTTCTGTTTCTGACCAGCGATCATCACTTCTTGTGCCGACATGATCTCGACAAGTTAATATCAAGTTTTGTGTTTGAGACTAAAAGACAGAGCAACTGACGTCTGACGATGATAATGAATCAGTGTTCCATATAAAAAGCAATGTTTGGAGTGGGTGAAAGGGTATTATTGTAATTTCTGTCCTTTAACTGAATGATGAACATTGGGTTGGTGAGCTACTAACTATACTATTGTATGTATTAACCATGAGAGAGGAAGTCCAGTGACATCCACGGCAAGATAACCACATAAGCATTTGTGGAAAAGATTTGACAAGAATCCTTAAGTAGCTTTACCATTGTATATATAGATATATATATATTTGTATATTGAACACAGTAACGAGAAACAATACAAACAGTTTCAACATCATTCGAAACTTAGGGACACACTTCAACAGAGTGATTATTACGATTCCACTATCCAAACAACAGCTTACCAAGTAATGATAAGTAACAAGCCCAATACTAATACTTGGAGATTCTGGGAAGAGTTACCCCTTCTACTAGCAGCTATAAGTAAAGATAATAAGGCCTATGATTGGAGATTTTGAGAAGAGTTTCCTCTGCAACTAGCCCAATACTCAGCAACAAGCTTGGAGAAGTAAGAATCACTCTCCATTAGCCTTGAAGGCTCGTTGTACTCCACTAGATCACCTGTCCAAAACCAAAAACCCATATATTGGTCATGATAACAGCTTTATAAGAGATGAAAAGACAGAGTTGGTTAATTCATTAAAGAAAAAAGTTGTTTACCAAAGGAGAGAACCATGACCATGTCACTGTCTATGACCGTTGGTACTCTATGTGCAACTGTGATCACCGTGCACTCTGCAAACTCTTCTCTTATGATTCTTTGAATGATTGCATCAGTTGCTGAATCAATGGAAGCTGTAGCTTCATCTAACACTAATATTTTGTTTCTTTTTAACAAAACTCTTCCAAGACAGAACAGTTGTCTCTGTCCCACACTCCAGTTCTCTCCTTCATCACTCACTTTTAATTTCGTCCCACCAATAACAAATAATAAACATAAGTTTAACGCCCATTTGGTGAAGTGAAATTGAAACAATACTGTTTTTCAGTTACCTGAAGAATCAAGCTTATTAGGCAGATTGCTAACCGTCGTCTTGAGCTGACACTTCTCTAGAGCCTGCAAAAGAAATAGTTTTATAAGGAAGGGTTTCAATCTGTGATGTAGAAATCTCATTCTTGTTTCTTATCTCACCTTCCATATTTCAACATCGGAGTAAACACCTAAAGGATCAAGGTTGGTCCTTATGCACCCACGGAAAAGAGTTGGTTCTTGAGGTATGATGCTGAGTTTCATTCTTAGGTCCTTTAGGCCAATCTTACTTATGTCAATGCCATCAATCAATATGCAACCACTTGTTGGTTCTACCAAACGAAACAAAGCACTGATTAACGTGCTTTTCCCACTTCCCGTTCTCCCAACAACTCCTACTCTTGTCCCTTCCCTAAATGTGCAAGAGATTCCTTTGAGAACTAACGGAGCATTGGGACGATATCTTATCTGAAACAAATAAGTGACGCAACTCAGTGCCTTAAGCATAATTATTACTATCATCTTGTAACACATATGTTTTCTTCTAACCTTAAGCTCCTGCAAGTGAATTGTACCATTGGAAGGCCATGAGGAAGGTGGTCTTCTATCATCCACAATTGCAGGAGGTTCTTCTGGTATATTCATATATTGTTTTATCCTCTCTACTGAAATGACTGAATTTGATAAGGTGCAATACCATCGGGTCATAAACACCTGAGTTTGTGTCAATGTTAATGCATAGGAGAGAGAAAGCCCAACGAGGCCTGCAACACAAAGGCAAAATTTCACGCAGAACCTTTCAACTTGATGAATACCTTCAATACAACAGATTTTTCAAACAACATCTCATTCTATATTTACGCAAGATGTGAAGATGTGATGAGATGAGTTAAATAATTCATGTACCTGGAGTTATGTAGCCCTTGGGGATAAGGGTAAGCAGAAGTGCACAAGTGAACAAGGTCACATTCTGTAGAGTCTCTATCCTCAGAATCACCCACTCCATGGCTGCATTAGACAGAAAGAATAGCACCGCATCTGCATCAACTAGGTGTAAGTAGTTTTTGAAGAATCTCTCTACCGTTCCAAAAGCTCGTATTGTCACCACTCCAAGTAAGGTTTCTGCAGCATAATTCATCACTGGAGCTTTGGTTGTTCCATTGATTCTAATCAGCTCCCTTGCAGAGGCTAAATAGTAATCCTTTTTTTCAACGAAGAAGTGGATGTTAATAGTGAATTCTTTGCTGCATAAAATGAATTGAAAAAGAAGTAAAATCGCAACATGTACCTGAACAACTTTTGTGGCTGCCAAAGCAAGAAGAGCGATGATAATTACTTGCCATGTAACGTATGTCATGATGATAAGAGATGCAACAAGCTCAATAGCCGGTCCTACCACAAATATGAAGGCGAATGGGATGTCAAAGTCCAAGACGTTCAAATCAGACGAAGCCTGCAAATGTTACAGTCAACCACATCATACATTGAGCTGTAAATGTATTCATATACGTGATTCATAGACATGAAAGTAAAGCGATCTTACTCGAGTGAGAATGCGCCCAACGGGAGTAGAATCAAAGAAAAGCATCGGGGCTTTGAAGACTGCATTTGTGAAACCAGAGAAAAAAGCCTTAGAAGCTTTTAGTCCAAAATGAGCAGTTGTAAGACCTCTCGTGTATACAAAACCAGCACTAAGAGTTGAGATAATGCAGTACACTCCAATAAGCATTAGATTCGTGAGTTGAGGGATCCCTATGGCAAAAGCCAGCCAGTATGTTGAGGCTGCTTGAAAAACTACAAAGCCAACCTGACTCAATATACTTGACCATAAAAGAAACCATCCTCGAGAGACACTGAAATAGTCCAAAAAAGGTTTCAACCCAACATAACCGCTCTCTTTTTCTTCTTCTTGTGTAAGTTGTACCCCTGGAACATTAATTGTTTCCATCTCTTCTTCGATTTTTTCTACCACCGTCATGTTTCTTATCTCACTGCCTTGACCCCCTTTCCTAAGGTCTCCGAGGCTTTCATTACTCGCTAAAGGTAATACAGTTACTGCATCATTATGAGCATTCACCAGTTGTTGGAATGCAGTCCCCATCATTAAGAGCTCCTCATACTTTCCTAACTGAGTTATTCTTCCTTCCTCCATAACCTGATCAAGAACATTAATAATTAATAGTGAAACAGTCAAGACGTAGACATAGTTTTTTTAATTTGCTGATACTCAAGTTTTACCAGAATTTGATCAACTTTTGAGAGAAACTCGACTTGGTGAGTGACCAGAATGACAGTTTTTTCCTTCAGCGAATCTTCAATACATTTCTGCAGTCACAGTTCAACCTATTAAGAAGCAGTCATTAAGAAAAGCTTCTTTGAAATCAATGCTCTCACTTACATGAAAAAGAACTCCAGCTGTATGTGCATCCACAGCACTAAAAGGATCATCAAGGAGGTAAACATCAGCATCTGCGTAGACAGCACGAGCCAGCTGAATCCTTTGCTTTTGTCCTCCACTCAAGTTAACCCCTCTTTCTCCTATTTCTGTGAGGTCACCATGTCCAAAACCGATCATGTCTTTATCCAACTCACATGCTTCAACAGCAGCATTATATCTTCTAGCTTCCATGGGCTTGCCATAGAGAATATTATCCCGGATGGTACCACTTTGGATCCACGCTGTCTGAGAAACATAAGCGATTGACCCAGAGAGCTTTACCTGTTTTTCAATTAGACAACATCAATATTTATACTATTTAAACAAAGTTAAAGTCAGTCTTCGTGGCTCTTTTGCTTACAGTTCCGGAAACTTTAGGTATTTCTCCAAGTACTGCATGTAACAGCGATGATTTTCCTGCCCCAACTGGTCCACAAACTGCAACTTTTTGCCCGTGCTTAACTTCCAATTGTATATCTCGAAGGGTTGGAGTCTTAGTTTCTGGATCCCAACTGAAGTTTCCTAATTGAATATCCACTGTTGTTCCAGATTTCTCTAGACCACTTCTTTCAATTTCATCAATCTTTAGCTCGTCATCAAGCAAGAAGTTGTTTATCCTGTCGAAAGAGACATTGACTTGGATGATAGCAGAAATGGCCTCAGGTATAATTTTAGCTGGCTCTGACATAACTCTTAGTGTAGCTAAAACCGTGAAAATGGTGCTTGCATTCAGTGGCGCGCTCTTCAATAGTGCACATCCAACGAAAATAACAGAAGAAACTATTGTTGGAGACATCCAATACAAAAAACTACCAAAGGCCTTCGTCAGCTGAGCCTTAGCCAACCATTTGAATTCTTCATCACGATAGGTATTTATCTTTTTCTTGAACTCCTCTTCCCAAGACTGCAGCTTAATGACTTTCATGCTGTTCAAAATCTCTGACGTAGACCTCAATCGCTTATCCTGCGCAATCATGAACTGGGTCTGGTAGTTCTGTAGCATCTTTGCGAATGGCAGATTAAGGAGACCACACAGGAGAAGAAGAATTAAACCTGGAAAAGCTCCTGCTCCAACCACTCTAAAAAGTACAGCTGTAGAAAGCAAAAGCTGCAGCGTAAGGCTCCATCCCGAGTGGAACCACCATAAGAATTCTCCCATACGATATGCATCCACCGCGATATAATTAACAATCTCCCCAGATGAATGCCTTTTTCTCCCCAAACTTGATAGCTTTAGCTGCTTTTTGTACGCAGCTACCATAAGCGCCGATCTAATCCTCATTCCTGATCTTCTTGATGCAAAATACCAATGTCTCATTGACAAGGATTCAACTAGCTTCAGCATAACTAGACAAGCTAAGTTGAAGAAACCATTTCGGAGATCCCTGTGGTCACTGTTTGCATAATCGACAAAGACATATAGCATTAATGGAAGAGATACAACCGCAACTGTTCTGAAAAATGCACATATTGTTATGAATATGTTTTCCTTGAAGTAAACTTTTGCAACGGCCCTAAACACCAAGTTTCTTTCCTTAGATGAGCTTCCATCTGCAAGAAGCGTATCCCATGCTTGAGAAAATTTATTGTAAGCTAATTCAGCCTCATCTTCCGGGACTACACTTGGGATATCTTCTCGGGACAATGGTTTCTTGAATCCCAGCGAGAGTAAAGGATTCATCCAAGAGAACG